CTCTGAGCTCTTGACTTAAATTACAACTATCTAACTGACATCTATACTCAAATCTCTCACTTGGCTAATCAGTATCATTCTTCAGACCTCAGTCTGAAGGCAACTTGTTCAGGGAAATCTTCCTTAACTTCCTAGCCAGTTTTAAGTCTACTTATATGTGTTCTCATATCATCTTGTGCTTCTCCTTTTGAAGCAGTCATTGATTTATTATTATCTCATTCATATTGTTGGGGCCAGCACATTAATCAAAATAAAGTCCCTGCTATTAAGGAGATTAAAGTTTTATATGAAAATGTTATGAAATATCTAGAAACAGACTTTCTGAAAGAATAAAAAACCAACAATATCAGGTACTCTGAAAACAAATTCTTTTAAAATAAATCCGTATTTCTGGAAAAAGGGAACCAAACTAGAGGGCTCCTATAGTATTTGTGATATCAGGGACTTTTTTTTTCTTAATTTTATAGAGGAATAACTTACATAAAGTATATTCATTTAGAGCATACAATTTCATGACTTTTGACAATCACTGACACCTATGAAATGCCCACAAGCAAGGAACTGTACATTTCTATCAACCCCAAAGATTCTTTGTGACCCTTCACATTCATCCATTTTGACCCAGGCAACCACTGTTCCGCTTGCTATTACTGTATATTAGTTTGCATGTGTCTAGCTCCTTTTAATCACCATATTATTTTGAAATGGGTCCATGTAGTGTGCCAGTAGAATTAGTCATTTTTACTGCCAAGTATTTCGTTCCACAGGTATGTCAATTTTGTTTAACCATTCACTTCTGGTTTTTTTTTTTTTTTTTTTCTTTTTTGAGATGGAGTCTGACTCTGTCGCCCAGGCTGGAGTGCAATGGAACGATCTGGGCTCACTGCAACGTCCGCCTCCCAGGTTCATGCCATTCTCCTGCCTCAGCCTCCCGAGTAGCTGGGATTACAGGCACCTGCCACCATGCCTGGCTAATTTTTTTTTAGTTTTAGTAGAGACGGGGTTTCACTATGTTGGCGAGGCTGGTCTTGAACTCCTGACCTTGTGATCTGCCCGCCTCAGCCTCCCAAACCATTCACTTCTTAATGGACATTTAAGTTATGTTCAGGTTTTGACTACTGTGAATGAAACTGTAAAAATGTTAGGATATAGGTTTCATTTCTCTGGAGTATCTCATTGTGGAGTGGCTGGGTTGTTTGGTAAATGTACATTTAGCTTGTTAAGAAACTGCAAAACAATTTTCTAAAGTGATTGTACCATTCATTTTACATTCCCATCACTGCCATATGAGTATCAGATGCTCCACAATCTCATCAGCATTTGGTATGGTCAGTCTTTTTAACTTTAATTAAGTGGATATACAGTGATATATCACTGCCGTTTTAATTTGTATTTTCCAAATCACTAAAGATGTTATCTTTTCACATGTTCATTGGTCATTAGTACTCTATTGTGAAGTTCAACTTTTTTCCCTTTTATAATTGGCTTTTTGCCCTTCTTGTTTTTTAAGTTGTTAGAGTTCATTATGTTCTGGGTAACAGTACATTGGAAGATATATTAGTGCAAATATTCTCTCCAAGACTGTTGTTTGTCTTCTAATTTTCTTAAGTGTCTGTTTTTCTTTTTACGGTTCATGATTCTTGTGTCCCATCTAAGAAATCATTGCCTATTCCAAGATGGAAAAGATTTTCTCCTATGTTTTCTTCTAGGAAATTCATAATTTTAGCTTTTGTGTTTAGGTGTATGCCTATTTTGAGTTAATTTACAATATGGTGTGAAGAGTTAAGGATCATTGTTTTGGAATGGATGTCCAATTCTTCTAGCACCACTTATTGAAAAGACTTTCCTTTTCCCACTGAACTGCCTTTCCATCTTTGTTGAAAACCAGTTGACAACATGCATTTCTATTTCTGGACTCTCTTCTGTTCCAGCTATTTATATGCCTGTTTTTAAGGCAGTGACATGTTATCTTGATTACTATAGAATTTTAGTCTATTTTGAAATCACAGAATATAAATCCTTAAATTTTATTCTTTTAAAAATTGTTTTGACTTTTGTAAGTCATTTGTATTTCCATATACAAAGGCATTGTTCTCATAGGAGATAATAGTTCCATGTCCCTGAAGACCTTCCAGTGGGACAAGATGTAGAGGTGGAAGACAGTGATATTGATGATCCTGACTCTGTGTAGGGCTTAATGTGCATGTTTGTGTTTCAGGTTTTTTTTTTTTTAATTTTAAGTAAAAAAATAATTTCTAAGATAGAAGAAAGTTATAGAATAGGATATAAAGAAAAAATTTTTTGTATATTCATACAATATGTGTTTTAAACTAAGTGTTATTAGAAGAGTCAAAAATAATAAAAGGTTTGTAAAGTAAAAAAGTTACAGTAAGCTGAAGTTAATTTACTTTTGAAGAAAAATTCTTTCTACAAATTTAGTGTAGCCTAAATACACAGTGTTTATAAAGTTTACAGTAGTGTACAGTAATGTTCTAAGCCTCTACATTCACACACCATTCACTCACTGGCTCGCCCAGAGCAACTTCCAGTTCTACAAGCTCCATTCATGGTAAACACCCTATAAAGGTGCCCTACAGAGATTTAAAAAATCATTTATACTGCATTTTTGCTGTACCTTTTCTAGACTTATATATGTTTAGGTAGACAAATACTTGCCATTGTGTTCCAACTGCCTACAGTCTTCAGTATAAGTAACATTGTGTACAGGCTTATAGCCTAGGAGCAATATGCTATACCATATAGCCCAGGTGTGTAATAGGTCATCCCATCCAGGTTTGTATAAGTACAATCTATGATGTTAACATGATGATAGTGACTAAGAATGCATTTCTCAGAACATATCCCCATTATTAAAGTGATGCACTATTGTAAATGGATTCAACTGTATCATTTTATTATTAGTTTTCTGTCTGTTCTCTTTGTTTTTGTTCCTCTCTTTCCCTTTCCCACTGTCTTTCAGATTAAATGTATATTTTAGGCTGTCTTTCTAATTTCTATATTGTCCTTTTAGCTATTTGTTTTTGGATTATTTCCTTAATGGTTGTTTTGGAATTAAAATAAACAACTTTGGTAGCTTTTCTACAAGATGCCCTCCCTGCCTTCATTCTCACGACTAAGAAATGTCTTGAGGGTAAAGAAAAAATCCAATATTCTTAAGAAATCATAAAGACTAAATCTAGCATGTAAATTAAAAACCCTTTCCTAAGACCTCAGAAAAATCCAAGGTGATGCCTCAGAGAACCATTCAGTCAAACTATAGGGCCATTCAGTCAAACTACAGAGCCATATAGGGCCAAGAAGTTTAAGAATATTGTCTCAGTAGTTTTAGCAGAAGGCCAAAGTATAAAAGGGCTTATCTCAAAGAGATTTGTAGTTGTGGCTTTTCCCTAATGAAATGAGCCTCAGTAGGATTCATGTGAGACCCACAAAGTTTTTAAGAGAACCGTATTTACATAAACACAGTGAGCTTGGACTGAAATGGACAGAGGCAGTAAAAAAAAGAATGATACCCAACTTTTACAGAATGGAAGTAGGCAGAGAAGGACAATTGCAAACACAAGCTATCTTTTATATATATATTTAATATATATATAAAAACACAAGCTATCTTTTATATATATATATTTAATATGTATATTAAAAAAAAAAAGGAATGACAAGAGAAGGGAAATAGGAGCACAAAGAGTGGTACCAAAAGTAATGGGGAATCATTCCCAGGTGGGAGGATGACTGAGTCCTAATCAAAGAATGTCCAGTACTTGCTTGGCTCAATTTCAGAATTGCTATGTAACAATGACTCCAGTTTTTCCGCTTTCTGAACAGAAGTATTGCTAGTGATTATCCTATGCCTATCTCACCATAGTATATTGGGAATGTGAAGGGCAACTGTTTCTTTGGCTAAGGTCTTCAGATCAAGAGGACATGTTCTCAAGGAGTTACATAAAGAACTACATCCAAGGAGCCTCATGTGCAATTGAACCTAGTTTAGATGAGGAAATACTAGACGTTAAACTAAAGCTATAATAGAATCTCTGAGGTTTGAAAACTGATTTATCCTTGACTTTCCCTATTTGGCAACTGCTTTTATTCAGGATCTCATCAAAGACTGCAATAACCCACATACTAGTTGTATGTTATATTAGTCCATTCTTGCACTACTATAAAGAACTACCTGAGACTGGGTAATTCATAAAAAAAAATAAAAATAATAAAAAAAAAAGAAGTAGAAAGATTTACTTAGCTTATGGTTCTGCAAGCTACAGAGGAAGCATGGCTGGGGAGGCCTCAGAAAACTTAAAATCAAGGCGGTGGGGAAGCAAGAACATCTTACATGGCCAGAGTAGGAAGAACACAGAGAGGCAGGAGGTGCTACATGCTTCCAAAGAACCAAATCTCATGACAACTCACTCAATCTTATGAGAATAGCACCAAAGGGGAAATCTGTCCCCATGAGTCAATCACCTCCCCCCAGGCCCAACCTCCAACATTAAGGATTACAATTTGACATGACATTTGCTTGGGGACACAGACCCAAACCTTACCACTAGTGTTCCTGAAATAAAACTCTCTGCACTCCACTGTGTAAACTTATTTCCTAGCTTATAATGGATTGTTGGAGGATTATGGCGCCAATCCTAACCCCTACTGTAGCTTCCATCACAATGTGCTGTAAATGTCTGCTTACATATTTTCTTCCTCCACTGTTTACTTTTATATCTTCAAGACCTAGAACAGTGCCTATCACATAATAGATATTTATTAAATGAATGACCAAATGCTCATGTCACATTTACTTCTAAATCATTTGAAACTGCTCACAATAGAAGATACATTCTTCATTAGATCAATTAAAGTAAAAGAATCGCTATGCAGTAACCCAATTTGCTCATGAAAAAGTTAAATTTTTGGAAAATTCATTCATTCGAAATAAATTATTTTCATTAATGCAAGACAAATGAGGTGATAATATTTATTCATACCACTTTTCAAAGTGTTTGCTTGGTTTTCTAAGTCAGATATTTCAATCTTGATATTTTCTTTCATCAAAAGCTCTCTTTTCTTTGTTAGTTCATACTCATTATTAAAGTCTGTAATTTCCTTAAAAAATTTGTCTTCCTCCTCTATCATTTGTTTCTTTATAGCCTCCTGAAAAACATAAATAAAAGATCAAATATAGGTGTTAGTTGTAATAATATTTTTCCTGAATTATTTAAAATATAATCTTTTGGAATTATTAACAATGAAAGTATATAATTATACTTCCTGGTATTATGGCAAAAATGTTTTTTTCTCATAGTAATATTAATAAAAAACTGAAGCTATTATATAGTAACAACTATCTTCAGATGAAAGATTTAACCTTAAAGTTTGGGGAGATTTATTGAGGTAGATATCCTACCACTCTTCATTATATCTGTTATTTGTATATTAAAATTCAGAATAATATTACATTTTATAATTATAACATAAAACTGGAGAGTAAAGTAATTAAATGGCCAAACTGAAAATTTAAAATCTACACTTAAAGGAATTACTGCCTTACAGGAAAACAAACAAACAAATAAGGATAGCCAAGAAAACCTTTTAAAATGTGGATGATGAAGGCAAAATTATATATTTACTTCAAAATCAGTTTTAAATAATAGTTTACATTTTATGAAGTATCAACATGGTGGAGAAATAAGAATTTTCAAAAACTGTGGACAATGCAAAAACCTAAACTCTTTGACAATGCTAGAATCTAAACATCACCATATTTTTCTAAGCTATGTCAATCAATTTTAAGCCACATTTTCAAAGTGGCCATGTCATTTCAAACCACCAAGTGTTGGTTCTGACTTCAGATATGTATTTTTAATATCTTTAAATGTATTTTCTTTAAAATGTCAATTAATCACAAGTCATATTTCTAAATTGGCACTGTCATTCAAAACTATTGCTCAGGCTGTTGGCTCTGAGTTAATAAAAAAATATTAACAATATCCATCCTTTTAGCCACATCCATAAATATGCCTAAAGTGTGAAACTTTCTGCCTTTCAAAAGGATTTTATCCAAAGTCTCAATGCTTGAGCAATTCAAATCAGTTCCACTGTTTCTTTTGTGCTTATTACAACTGCAAATAATTGCTATATTACATCCCTGCCCATACACTTCTTTCAAACTGTATTACTCTACCAACTGGTTTTAAATAGCACTTAATACTTTCCTGTATCTGAGGAGGACTACCTGCTAATATGCACATGGATAATTTTCTAAAAGCATACTTAAGTATATTTGAAAACTTTTTTACATAATTAGTGTAATAGATTTTTCTAGGTGGCTGGAAACTTACAAAGGTTTGAAGAAGCATATTCCTGTGGTTTGTAATTTCACTGTACTGTTTTTCTAAGGCATTTTCATGAGTTTTCAAAAGCTGTAAGAGGAAGGATTTTTCAAAAAACTGTTGAACCTTCGAAGTACAAAAATAGAAATCAGAATAAAACAATTAATTAGACATTTTAGAGTGCCTTAGGTAACAGATTTGTCTAGTATAAAATATATTCTGTATTAATCTTTAAAATGCAAAATAAAATCAGCATCAAACATCTTATTTTATATATACTATCTTGTATTATTTTGTAAGTACTTTATAGTTACAATTTTATAATCTCTTCCCGCAATAAGACTATAGGCTCCTCAAGGGCAGAGAATGTGCTTTCTTTTTCCTCTCAATACCTAGAAAAATTCCTAGCTTAGGTACTAAAACTTTTTCAATACACACATTGAAATCTGCTTTAAGACTGTTTGTTTTTAAATAACAAGTTTCTATTTTCACAGATTATAAGGAATATATGAATGAATAAATCATGTACATAATATGACTAATAAAATAATAAGATAAAATCTAGAAAGCAGAGGCAAAAACTCAGTCCCATTATTATAGTTATATCAAATGGGTTTTGAGAACTCATTTTTTATTTTAATACTTCATTTGGTTCTAAGTAGCAAAGGGTATATAACATTAATGTTAGACATGCAACTGTTATTTCATTTGGACCTTAAAAAGTAACATCTCCTGAGAGATGAATATTGAAACGAAGTCAGGAAGCTTTAATATATAAAAACTAAAAATGATGCTGGACTGGAAATACTGTAATTTTTCTACTATGTTCAGTGCTAGCCCTCATAAGAAAGCATCATTTCCAGTTTGGGTCTGTTCCCATCTCTATAGAGAAAAGAAAAAGGATATAAATTCAACTTAAATTGCAGAAAACAAGATTTATGGTAGTTATAAGAACTTCCTCAAGGTGAGAGACAGGTTGTGAAATCTCTGTCCCAGAAGATATTGAATAGTAAAGAGCTTAGAAATAGTCTAGTCCAGAGGCAAAAGGGTTGGCTTAAGAGACAGTTTGAAATATTATGGCTAAAACGTCCTAGAAATATTGACATTTAAAAAGTAGCTGAAATAAAACAGAAAATATGATCTTACATTTATGTAAGATCGTAGCCCATCTGCCCATGTCTTCAGTACTTGGTACTGTTTTCATTAACCCGATTTTAAGAAAGGCATCAACAGAGAAAGATTAGAGAGGTACAATTCACATAATCAAAGGACCTGAGATCATATTTTAAAGATTAGGGGAAGGAATAATAGGGTGGTTAGTATTTTCTGTCTCAGAAGACAGAAATTAGAAAACATATGTCCAAATCTATAAAATAATGTAGAAATTTATAACAAGGGTAAACTACAGTATGATCTTGAAATCCACCACATTTATTTAGAATAAAATATATTTTGTGACTATTTAATACTTATTAAGTAAATGAGAATAAAATGAGGTCCAGAGAAGTTAAACACCTTAACAAAGGCTGTATAACTAATTAGAGGCAAATCTAGGATTAAAATCCAGGTCTTCTGCCTTTCTTTCTTCTAAATCATGATGTTAACATGGAAATGTCAGAACTATTTCAAAGTAATGAAAAGGTAATTCTAGAGCTAAAAAGGGACTTCAAGGTGTGATAATGAGTTGAAAATATGTAAGTTTAATAAACATTTAAGGAAATTACCAAATCCTAGATCCACCCGAGCTTACTGAGAAGGGTGTTCGCAGTATATACCTAACTCTGAGTTACTGTTGTGGACATTGCCCAGGGATGTCCACAAAAAATGCTTTAAAGACCAAATAATGAGCTGGATAAACGCGGGTTTAATCTACTAAGGTATTTCAAGTATGATGCCCTTTAGAAACACAATTCATGAATTGTAAGTCCATGTATACCACTGGTCTGTTGTAAAAGACCTATGCCAAACCTAGAACTCAAAAACTAGGAAAATATTACTTATTAAACTAACAAATTTCTAAATCAGACTTAAGCAAATCTATTATTCAAATTCAGAAAAGCCTTATGTTAAGGACTCAGAAATTAAGGTGCTATGTTTCAGCTATCAATGATTAAGAGCTTAAATTACCACTGAGCCCATATCTTCTTTCTTAAAAGGGAGAATAACCAATATTAAGAAGAGCTAGGTGACATATTGGCACTTAACCAGAATATTTTACCATTACCTAAAAAATGAAATCTATATACCAAAAGCTAAAAGGTAGACAGCTGTTCTAAAGATTTATAAAAAGGGCATATCCATAATTTTCCTCTTCCCTAAAATTTTATATAAATCATCCATTTTAAGTTCTCTGCTTGTTTTTATTTTTAGTATTAGTTTATCTCCTCTTCATTCCCTTTTTGTCTTACCTTCCGTCTTTATCATTTACTTCCATATTTGCCTCTTTTAATCCAGATCTAAAGAGGCCCAGAGAGTCAATAATTACAGAAAGATTATGGTACATTAATCTTCAAATTTACATAGGATCTATGGTTAAAAAATGTTAATACAAAAAGTCTTGGTAAGTATGAGAAGTAGAATGATGGAGAAAGCGGCAGGAGTTTGGGAAAGTTAAAGTCAGGAAGGACAAGAATAGAGGCCTATAATATACTGCTTCACATTGTTAAGGACATCAATAGATCAAGGTTGCAGAAGCTAGATAAGGCCTATATTGTTAATACATTGCCTTTATATTTTAGTGGAACTAAGAAAACAAAAAAAAAAAACTTGAATCTGCCCAGTTCCTCCTTGTTAAGTATAAGTTACTAACTCTTCAGAAATAAAAGAGCTTTTCATAGTCTCCTATTCGTAGAATGTTTCAGATGGTTCTTTTTGTTCTTATTGTTGTCCCAACTGATTTATTTTTTATGTTCCTGTGTTTGAAAACTAAATCTACTGATATGTAAAATTTAAGTAAATATTCCAAATATAACCCTGAATGTATTGATAGGATCAAAAGATGAATAAATAATCATCAGAAAATCCTCTTACCTCTTTTTTTGTTATAAAGGTAATGGGTGGAGATCAGAGTTGGGGAGATAATACATAAAATGTTAGAGTGTGATATAAAAATATTTCTAAACATATCTGAGTCAGGTTTGAACTAAGGCATATTTTATGTCTATGTAGCTTGAACCATTTATTTTATAGTAAATAAAAACTTAAAAATCCATTGCTTCTGTGTCCTAAGTTATCCACTAAGATCCCAAAAGAATACAGACAATATAACGAAAAGGGTGGGAAGTTCCTAATGACAGTGATAAAATTTTCTCTTTTTCATTTCTATCTGATCTCCTACTAGAAATGAAAAAATATATTTGCGTATAGCCTTAAAGTGATAGGCCGGGTGCGGTGGCTCACACCTCTAATCCCAGCACTTTGGGAGGCTGAGACGGGCGGATCACCTGGTCAGGAGTTTTGAGACCAGCCTGGCCAACATGGTGAAACCTCCCTCTACAAATCAGCCAGGTCGGTGGGGGCACCCGTAATCCCAGCTACTCAGGAGGCTGAGGCAGGAGAATCTCTTGAACTCAGGAGGCAGAGGTTGCAATGAGCCAAGATTGTGCCATTGCACTCCAGCCTGGGCAATGTGAGTGAAACTGTCTAAAAAGAGAAAAAAAAAAAAAAAGTTATATTCTAGAATCTGGAATCAAATAGCCAAGCTTTGTCAGAAAATATTACTGTTTTGGGAAATTCTAATTTACAGTAGTGCCAACTCCCTGGTTAATTCTGCTTCTCTCAGCAATAAAGACTGTTTTTCCTTTCCTTGTTTTATTCCTCTTGGGATATTTAATTTTTTAATGGCACTTATAGTTTTCCCAGTGAGCTGACTTATCTGGTCAACTAGGTCAGTTTCCAGCAAAGCCATGATTTGTGACTTTTCACTACTCTTGCTGCCTGGGTGCCTTTAGGTATTTTTCTGCCAGGAGAACTTAAAAATTGAAAATGACTGAGGATTTAAAATTAATGTTAGGGTCCAAGCTAGCAAAGTACATAGGTCCTCTTTGTTGTGGTTGTTGTTGTTAAAAATAACCTCAGCCTTGAGGAACTGACATTTTGCTGATTAAATACTCTGCCCCATAGCATAATAGGCAACTTTACATTTTAAAAAACTAAGAGTTATGTAGAAAATTTCACATTCCTAAAATCACAACAATTGGGAAAAATATATCATTATTATGACTATATGATAAAAGACATTCTAAATACTAAGGTACATTAATGAATATTGTATTGATAGCAGACATTAAGGTTTTTATAAAAAAGATCTCTCTTTATACTTTTCCAAATCACAGAGGCAATGCTTAAAGAATAACTTACTATGACATAGTAATCCTAATATAGTTAGTAAGGAAGGAAATAACCGCTTGACAATGGCTTATAAGGCTTTACCTGATTTTCACCTCCTCACTCCCCCTCCAGCCACCTCTCCTGTCACCTCCTCACTTGCCCCATTCCAGCCACAGTGGCCTTATTATTATTACATATGTACCATATATAATATATATAATATCACATATAATATATACCACATACTATTATATATAATATAAACTATAATACATATGTTTATACATATTAAATATTATATACAAATAAATATTTTTGTTGTTGTTGAAATGGAGTCTTACTCTGTCACCCAGGCTGGAGTGCAGTGGCATGATCTTGGCTCACTGCAACCTCTACCTCATGGATTCAAGCAATTCTCCTGCCTCAGCCTCCAGGGTAGCTGGGATTACAGGGGCACACCACCATGCCTGGCTGATTTTTCTATTTTTAGTAGAGACGGGGTTTCACCATGTTGGCCAGGCTGGTCTCGAACTCCAGACCTCAGGTGATCCACCCACCTAGGCTTCTCAAGGTGCTGGGATTACAGGCGTTAGCCACCACACCTGGCCCCATTATTATATATTAATCCAAGAAAATATATAGATAAACTGTAAAGAAATAAAAAAAGGGTTTAGTAAAGAAGCTATTAACAAAATAAATACCAAAATCTATTCTAGTTACCAACAACAAACAGAAAAAAGCATGGAAAATATCCCATTCGTGACAGCAAAACCAAGACAAAATACACAAATAAGAAA